TAGCTTCCAAAGTGGAGGGGCAGGAGTGCAAAACCCAAGTCACCATTCGGCCCTGGAGCTCACCTTACTCTGTTCCACAAGCCCTGTCCAGCTTTAGCCTAGGATGGACACCTCCCCCACCCGTCTCTCATCGGGCTGTAAAGTGTGTTGGTAGACCTGAGGGGCAGTGGGCAGGGCTAGGTCCTGCAGGGCAAGCATACCATGGATCAACAATGGGGAAAGGTGGTTCATAGACCTGGCTGGCTTACTCACCTTTGAGATCAGTCAGCCCTAGAAGATTCTAATCAGGAAGCATTTAAGAATCTACCCAGGGTGAATGGTGGGCAGATATTGTGTCTCTGCCAGCATGAGTGGCGACAGAAATTCTCAAGGTGCTAAGGAACAAGCCAAGCTTCCTTCTTCGTGGTAAGTGGTGTCCCCCACAAGTGTCAAAGCCTCATTACTACTGTTCACAGAGCTACTAAGGTCCTAGAACCACCCCTGGGGAACTTGGAGCAGTGGGCAGGCAGAGAAGGCGTTCCATAGACTCCTGGGACATGCCACTGGGTTACCATCTTGTCTCTGCACTTTGCTGATGTGTGGCCTAACCTGGCCCCTCCTCTGAGTTCTCATCTGCAAAGTGGGAAAGGAGGTACACGCATCTCCTGCAGGCTGAGGGGTGGCACCAGGGGTCCTGAGATGTCATGCCCGCATCAGCTGCACAGAATGCAGGAAATGGGGAGTCTTCCACAACCCCGGTCAGACCAGGTCTCTATCTACCAGTATGGTGTGAGCTGATGAGAGAGTCTATGTAAGTATCAGCTCTAGGCTTCCCGGGGTCACACCAGGCAGGCTGAATGGAGAGAACAGGAGTTCAGGCACCACACTCCCGGTCCATACAGACGAGTCTCCGAAAAATGGATGATTCTTTGTGATGCATGAATCAGAACTAATCCTTCATAGTCCCATGGGATAGAGTCCTATCCCCCAAGGTGCCTGTCTCCTGTTCCATACTAGAACCCTGGAGGTATGTAGTGTAACCACTCAGGTGGGGAGCATCCTTAGACACAGGGACCATGTTTCCAGTGTCTAGCTGCATTTGGATCCAGGGGTTCAGAGTCTCCAGGTTAGATTCTGTGCCCACTGGGGACCAAAGTCCCTTGGACCCTCAGTGGAGGAGATAGCAGAGACCCATCTCTGAAGGGACCCAGCACAGACCAGAGCCAGCCTACTGGGAGCCCGCCTTCTACTGTGAAGTTGCACACACAATATGAGCAATTGCTGTAATTCCTCTCTAAGTGCTCTTGTTTCCCCCAATAATTCACGTTTCATCTCCACAATAAACATTGTTAGAACTCTCCTCTCGGCTTTAAATATACATAATTGCTCCCGGTGCCAGTAAAAGGTATTAATTCCATTTATGCATTCCATAAACTTTTAGGATAACGCAATTGATACCACAATCATGTTGGGACACCTCCTCTATTCTTCTGCTTTGCAAACCTCCGAGGGGCTGGAAAGTTTGTTCCAAATCCATTAGTGTTGACTCAGCCCCATCCTCCCCAGGAATCCCTCACGGAGGCTTTGTGCTTCCCGCCAGGGGCTGGTGGGTGGGTGGGTAGCTGCTCTTTCTCAGGATAGACAGGCAGGAAGGCAGGCAGGCAGGCAGGCAGGCAGACAGACAGACAGACAGACAGACAGACACACACACACACACACACACACACACACACTGAGGCTGAGCACCGCTGAAGTTTACTTGGGGCTATGTCCAAGCCATCTGTTCATCAGTGATGCTCCCAGGCCAATAATCAAGTCATCCGTGAACATGCCCTCACTATTGGCCCCCTCTCTAGCAAGCTAGCGGTGTCACAGCCTTCCC